GGAAGGCTCCGCTGCAACCGCGCAACCTTCGCGATATCGTGGGCCAAACATTTCTCCGGAAGTCTTCGAGCTGAAAATCGCGTAGCGCGTCAATAATTTGTTTATATCTAAGTGATTTGATCTACACATGCAAAATCTCTCTGCATATTATTAAATTATCAGAAACCTGGAAGTGTCCTAGTCCCTTTGGAAACCTTGGTCGATCACCCAGGCGCGTGCGGCTGCAGTGAGGGGGAGAAAGCGACTAAGCCGAACGGAACTTTCCGCGTGTGGGAACCGTCCGCGTTGCAAGCGCGCACGCGTCACATGTGCGTTAAACCCAAGTTTGGAAACTTGTCGTAAGGCCTTTCTAATTTGTAATCTAGAGGCTGACCCTGTGAGGAATACGGTAAGTTCTCATCACAGCTGCTTCCACGTTCCAAAGCTTATTCGTTTCGTTGTTCCTGCTACATCGTGATTCTGTTCTATCTACTTGCATGATTCACTGATATCAGTATTTACCTACGGATTGTTATCACCATTTTTCACTTCCTCAGATTTATTCCGGCGCGACACGCTTGACAAGCATCATTTCTGCAATATTTGTATTTTTGATTGAGAAACCTTTTTTGTGTTTTTGTACCAGATTTTTACTTAATGGTTGTGTTATTGATCATTTTTCTCCTGCCTCATGGTGTAGTCGATCCCACAGATTAATTCCAACGCATGAGTGCGAGATATTTCCGCGAATACTGCATTCGCCACTGAAAAACCTAAGTCACAAGAAATTATGGTCCTTACCTGAATTTGCCCTTTCTGCTAGTGCCTCGTGCGGGTCATAACCCACGATTCTGTGGTGAAGTGATACCGTAGGTCAATGACGGGTCGGAGATTACTGTTACCTCTCGTGGTGACTCCCTTGACACCTGAAGGCTCAGCCGGAGCGCGCGTCATGGCTTCAAGCGTGTGTGGCGCACTTGTGTGACCGAACTACCCTTTAAACCCCAAAGCCGGCAGACAGGACTAGAGCGGGTGGCGAGAGCGGCGCTGTTTCATGGTTTCATTACGCTACAGATGGCGGCACTTCATCGCTGGCACGCCGCATGTCGTCGTCCCTAATGAAGGGTGATCCGACAATAAAAAGCAGTACACTAATCACCTGCATGCACTGAGAATGGGTTCCGCACCTCTTTGTCTCATAGCCTCAGAACTTTTGGATTGGCAGCGATAACAACCGAAACTGGTCAAAGCTTGATCGCACCGAGACGTCTGATAAAACACCATGGGAACGGTTCGTGGGAGGGTTATTCACAATGGCGGCTCGGCATGCTTCAATGGGACGCATGCCCACACCCATGCTTTCAATCGTTCTGCTGTGGGATCCGCTACCCGATGTCGCAAAAGTGATTCACTAAATGGTGTTTCTCGTTGTGATATGATCTTTGTTTGTCTTCTTATTCTTTGTCATTTTTATACATCAATACCTAAAACCAATAAAATGTTCACTTATCAGTCCGATCTTTGATGGAATTTTTATATGAATCATGAATGCATACTGGGAGCAGGTTTAAAGGAATCCCTTTCTCAAATTCTTTCTTGAAATGAATGTGTCAGTTGTGATCACTGGAAACAGCACACAAAGTTTCACGCATGAAGATTCGGTTTCCGAAGAGAAACAAACGTACAAAAACTACACTCTATGGACAATCGAAGGTAATTCGGGCGGAGCCAAAGGCGAGGCATGGAAAGAAGTTGGCCTTTGGCCGGCTACGTATCAGGCGACGCAATGAAAGAATCGGGTTAAAGCGCGCGATTTCGGAGAGTTAGCACGAGGAAATACGATCGACTGGAATAGGATGGAGTGGAATGTGAGAAGCTGTCTGTTTGTAGTGAGTCAGGGGCTGAAAAAACGGTTATCTAGCGAAGGCACCCCAAGAACCAAGTGGAAGCATCCCCGTCGCCAGCATTTGTGAAAGACGTCCGTGGGCACTTTGAACGCGTAGCAGCCCTTTCAATTTTTCGAATTTTTTTACCAAAACAAAAGCAATATTCTCTGTTCTTTTCATTCTTATCGTGGATAATGAGTCTCAAGCCAATGATTTATGGCTGAAACAGAATCATGATTTTCGTGAGGGATTCCTTTTTTTTCAGTTCGCACTATTCGAAAGAGGGGTCGCATTAAGCTTAAAGCAACAGTCCAGGCAGGGTTTCAACTACTTGGTCATTAGGCGGTCAAAACATGCCCCAGCCCAACTAAAGTTTATAGGAAATGTCTTTAATTTCAAAACCTACCTCTAAAATGCGCTGGAAGGGGTCGAAGTCCTCTTGGAGGGGGCGGATCACCCATAAAGAGGCGGATCGCCCAACATACGCTGTGCAGAGTCCGTGCTTGACTAGCGGTCGTTGCGGGACCGCCGCGCTGTATGAGGTCGATTCCATAAGAACGCAATTGAAGCGCTTCAATTTCGATTGCTGGCAAATAGTTATGTATTTGCAAGCATGCAGCTATTTGCCAGCAGTTGCAATTAAAGCGCATGTACTACGGGCAGGTTCGGACAACTCGTCCAACACACGTCTCCCTAAACGGCAGGGCATGTCCCTGTCTAAGCCCCAGTTGGGCGTTTTCTTCACTTTTTCTCTTTACGTTCGACCACTTTTCACCTACAACTTCCATATAGGTGCTTT